TCTGTGTGCGTCTAGTGGTCACACCATGTTTTCTCAGATTGCCACACTCCACAGGACTCGAACCGTGAAGTCACGTGTAGGATCCAATGCCTTAACTGCCGTGCCACCTGCTGGCCTAAGTTCTTTGCTTTTTATTGCTGAATAATACTTCAATACTTGTATGGATCAACCACGTTTTGTTTATCCATTGATCAGCTGATGGACCTTGGGTTGTTTCCACTTTTTGGCAGTCATGAATTGTGGTGCCCAAGTTCCATATCTAGGAGTGGAACTACTGTGTCATAATGGTGATTTAAAACTATATATATTTATTTATTATTTTTAAAATTGCCTTTTTATTATCGAGTTGAGTCTAGATACAAGTCCCTTACCACAAACGTGACTTATGAAATTTTTTTCCACTGTGGGTTGTCTGTTCACTTTCTTCATAGTGTCCTTTGCTGTGTAACAATTTTTAAAAAAATTTTAATTGGAGAGGTTTTTGCTACAGGGTGTGTGCGCTTGCCAGAAAGACAGAGAGAGACAGAGAGACAGAAAGTGAGAAATCACCCCCCAGGGGAGATGGCCACGCTGCAATACCTCCTCCTCCATTCTCCTCTCGGGATCTTGGGCACGCACACACACGCGCTTGGCGTGAGTTTAAGCCACTGGGTCCAGGACTCGAACTGCAGTTGACTACATGGGAGTCCAGCGACATAGCCATTATGCCACCTGCTGGTTCCAACATTGTCTATTTTTTCTTTTGCCCCTTTATTTTACTGTTGTATTTAAGGATCCATTGCCTAGTCTAAGATCACAAAAATTTACACCTGTGTTTTAGAGTTTTAGCTTTCTTTTTTTTTTTTTAATTTGCCAGAGGGCATATGTGTTCTCCAGGAAAAAAAAGGGGGGGGGGAGAGAAAGCATCCTGGAATGGGGCATGGTCACACACCAATCACTTCTTTTCCATTTCTCCACCCAGTTGGGATTTTGGCTTGTCCCTGGAGGCTGTCACCCATGAGTCACCTGGGATGGAAAGGGAGCAGGCTTTCTTTTCTTTCTTATTTTAGTTTTTTCTGTATGGTGCATGCACTCACCGGGGAGAGATAGACACAGACACAGTTAGAGGGAAAGTGAGAAATCACCCCCCTGGGAAGGAAGTGGTCACACCAAAATCCCTTCTCCCCCATTCTCCTCCTGGGATTTTGGACACGGATGCACATGCACCTGGTGTGATTTTCAAGCCACCCAGTCCGGGACTCAAACCATGGTCAGCCACATGGGAATCCAGTGCCTTAACCACTGCACCACCTACTAGCCCAATGGGAGAGGGCTTTCTTTGGCAGGGACCTAGAGGGGAGGAGTAGACAGCAGGGGACGGATATTTGGGCTATTTTTTGGAGGGAGACTTTTAGGGTAACTTCAGACTTCTTTTCCCTCCTCCTGCCCCCCTCCTAGGGGGTCCTTCTTGGTGTGAGGAACCAAATATTGGTTCCTGATGCTCCAGAGCATGGACTCTGCCTCTTGTTGACCTTCGGGGACTTGGCAAAGTGTGGGTTTGGCTCCCGAGAGCTGGCTCTGGACACGCAGGCTGGCTGAGCAAGCCCAGCAGCACGCCTGGGCTCCACCCCCACCTCTGTCACTGGCTTCACACATTCTCCGTCTCATCCCATGCCTCACTTCAGTTGTCTAGGAAAGTGGAGAGGTTTGATGCCAAAGACCCCTGTAATAATTAACGAGGATACAGGTCCAAGAGAATTTTGTGTCTTGGGCTGGCTCCCCTCTTGGTTCAGAAGTCTGACTTTATCACGCAACGATCGAGCCTCTGAAACCAGCTTGTGCTGATCAAACTCTGATCGATAAACCATAGGAACTAATGCAGCCACTGACCTTCAGTCACGGGTCATCTACCGGACTGGATTCTCCTCGGTGGAAGAGCACATGCCCTTGTCAGTTCTGCATATTCTTTTTTTTTTTTTAAAGAATTATTTAACTTTATTTATTATTATCATTATTATTTTCCAGTTTGATCAGAGAGAGATAGAGAGGAAGTGAGAAAGCAAGCCACCATGGCTGAAAGCAGTTTGAGTCCCAGGCCTGGTGACTTGCTTTCTCACTTTCCCTCTTCCTCTCGCTGTCTGTTTTTCTCTGGCCAAATTAAAAAATAACAATAAATAGGGACCGGCAGGTGGCATGGTGGTTAAGGTGCTGGACTCCCACCCACGAGGCTGACCGTACTTAGAGACCTAGACCTGGCAGCTTGCTTTCTCACTTTCCCTTTCTTTCTCTCTCTGGTCAAATAATAATAATAATAATAATAATAATAAATGGAATGAAATAAATACATTTTTAAAATAATAGAGAAGTCAGAAGTCTGGATTTTTATGTGATAACTTCTGTTATAAACTGGCACCCAAGTATAGTTTATAACTCTGTATCTTAAACTGCAAGCCAAGCAAAACATGGTGGGGGCCAGTGCTGGTCATGTTTGCAGCCTCTGGTCTGAATGATCTTTGCTTGCTTTCTGCTTTCCCCACTGTTCCAGCACAGAGCCAACATCCAGTAAATGTCCAGTAAGTGGGCACAGACTGAGTAACCCTGTGCAGACACACCTGGCAGAGAAACGAACTGATCATCAAGACTGCTAGATTACGGGGCTAGTGTGAACCCCTAAGGCAGTGTGGTCTAACACCCTAACCACTTCCTGCAGGTGCCTGAGCCCTTTCCCAGCCTCCCTGGCAGCTGTACTGATGGGGGACTCCCCACTGCCCTAAGTGATTCCAGTCTGCTGGGCCAGCATAGTTCTTTATATCCTGTCTCAGGTCAACACAGATCTTTTTTCTTTATTTTTTTTAGAGAGATTTTTTGCTACGGGGCATCTGTGCTCACCAGAGGAAAAGAGAGAGAGAGTGAGAAATCACCCCCGGAGGGGATGGCTATGCCTCAGTTCTCTTGGGATTTTGGGCACACGCGCTTCCTGCATGAGTTTCAAACCCCCGGTTCTTTCGGATGGACCGCGGTCAGCAATGTGGGAGTTCAGTGCCTTAACCATTGCGCCACCTGCTGGCCGCAACACAGATCTCTACCTGCCGTGCTTGCATGTGCGCCGGATACCTCAAGTTGGGTCACTATAGCCACTGAGGGCAAACGCCCAGCCCCAGCATCCAGGCGTCATCACTTTCCCCTGTTTTGTTCTCATTGCCCTGCCACATTTTGAAAAATAATTATTTAATTTTATTGATTACGATCATTTTTGGATTGGACCAGCGAGAGACAGAGAGAAAAGGAAAGTGAGAAATCAAGCTGCCAGGTCCAGGACTCAAATGGTGGTCGGCCAAGTGGGAGTCCAATGCCCTAACTACCACGCCACCTGCCAACCCCAGGCTCTATCACTTTTTCAATGAGCATTGGTTTTTTTCCTTTATTATCTAACATAAGCACCCTGAGGGCTGAGAGCTGTCTTACTCCCTGTGGGATCCGCGCTCACCACCTTGTGACCCTGCAGGTGGGCCGTCATCTGCAACCTTCCTCAGCTACTTCTGGAGCATGCGCCCTGGTCTGGGCCAGGCTGTGTGCAAAGCTCTGTGTTCACTGTCTCCAGCTAAGCCCCCACGAGGAGCCTGAGGGTTAGGCATTCTCTGTCCCTGTTGACAGATAAGGAGTCTAAGGCTCAAAGAGGAAACTCCGGGGCCAGCAGGTGGTGTACTGTTAAGGTACAGGACTCCTACGTGGTAGACCACATTTTATTTATTTGTTTTTTTTTTAATTTTATTTATTCATTCGCTTATTTTAAATTTGGCCAGAGAGAGACACAGAGAGAGGGAAGGTGAGAAAGCAAGCCACCAGGTCCAGGACTTGAACCGTGGTCGGCCATGTGGGAGTGTCCAGCTCCTTAGCCACCTCTTCACCAGCTGGTCCCGGTAGACCACGGTTTGAGTCCCAGACCCTGAGGCTTGAAACTCATGCTGGGTGCATGTGCATGTGTGGCCAAAATTCTGAGAGGAGAACAGAAAGAAAGGGATTGCAGCGTGGATATCCCCTCCGGGGGATACCTTCTCACTTTTTCTCCATCTCTGTCTGTCTCTCTCTGTCTCTGTCTCTCCAGTGAGCACATGCTCTCTGTAGCAAAAATCTCTTCAAAAAAAAAGACAGGAAGCTTCTGTCTGAGCCCTGCTGGCGGGTGACAATTCACACCCTGGGCAGTGTTGCCCAGGAACAAATTGGAGGGAGGGGCAGCCACTCCTGATGTGCTGAGCATTGAGTAAAGTGCAGTCAGCCTCTGTCCCCAACCGCTAGCTAGCCCTTCTTCTGAACATGTCACAACCCTCAGGTGGCAGTTCACCCTAAGGAGGAGTCTCCCGGGTGAACTGCAGTCGGGCACGGGAGAGCAGTGGTCCTGACCTTGTGCCTTTGTGTCATCACCCGGAGAATGGGGGGCTTTATGAACTGACTCGGTTCACACGGTGCCTGCTAAGACAGGAACCTAGTTAGATGCGCCATACATATGAGCGCTGTTAGAATTCCACACGCAGGGAGAGCCTCCCCCAGGTTCTATGTGAATTCTCGTCACGTGCATCAGCGTGCCACTCACTGATTTTGCCCCTGGCTTTGGGAATGCTTCCCGTTGGGGGTCCACAGCCCCCTTGGCGTGGCCATGGAGTGAGTATCATAACTTAGTAAGCGCTTTGATGTGTATTACCTCATTTGAGCTGTTGGGTCATTTGGAAAAGTCATGATGTAGTTTGCAAAAATGCATCTAACGTTTCCAACAACCCCAACAGTGGAGGCCTCAGGCTGGGTGTGTGTTTGACTCTCCCAGGGTCAGATACTAAGTGCTGCCATGTAGGGAGCCCCATCCCCTGAAAACCAGCGGGGGCATGACTCTAGGCCACCCCCAAAGTCACCTGGTTGGCAGGAACTCAGAGGTGTGGGATTCGAACCCCAGGCCTCGGAGCCCAGGCTGCCCTCTCCTGTGCCCAGCAGCTCCTGCTGTCATGCTGAGTGGCCCTTTCTCTCCTTAGCGGAGAACACCACCAACACCACCCAGGGCGAGCCGCACCGGTGGCTGAGCTGTGACTGGCAGGACGAGATGCTCAACCTGGGCTTCACCATCGGCTCCTTCGTGCTCAGCGCCACCACCCTGCCGCTGGGGGTCCTCATGGACTGCTTCGGGCCCAGGCCTGTGCGGCTGATCGGCAGGTCAGGCGGTGGGCTGTAGGTGCTGCAGGGCAGGGGCCATGCCGCTCGGAGGGGAGGCTTGGAGTACCAGGTCAATCTCCCCTTCCCCATGTCCCCACAGTGCCTGCTTCGCTGCGTCCTGCACCCTCATGGCCCTGGCTTCTCGGGACGTTGAAGGTGAGCTGCCTGGGCACTCGCACACCCACTAGGAAAAACACGGGTGGGGTGAGGTAACTGTTTACCCTGGCTCCTGCCCTTGGCCTCCCAGTTCCCCAAGTGCCCTCATCTGCCCCTCTCCCCTTCCCAGTTCTGTCCCCGTTGATATTCCTGGCGCTGTCCCTGAATGGCTTTGGTGGCATCTGCTTAACATTCACGTCACTCACGGTGAGTACAACAGGCCCGGCTGGGCAGGACACCCACAGGTGAGGTCAGGCTGGAAGTGAGTGGGGGCAGGAGTAGGGCAGGGGCGTGGTGACGTGTGGGTGACAGCTGAGGGCGGTGGGCAGTGCGTGTGCGTGTGTGTGAGAACACCCAGCCCTGTTCTAGGCACTGGGGCTTCAGCACAGACTGGCCTGACAATGCTCCCACCTTCCTGGAACTTCCAACTGGGGCTCGGGAGAAACACAGCCCAACAAACAAGTAAACTAATAAATTATGTCAGGAGTCCCAAGTGCGGAGAAAAAAATAAAACCGGGTAATATGATAGTGAGGGGGAGGGTGTGGCTTGAGGCAGTGGTGTGTGTGTGCCGGGTCTTGGCCAAGCAGGTGTGTCACTGTCCGTGTGGAAGGGCATGTGGCCCGTGAATGTCTGTGAGTGTACTAGGTTGAACCATGACACTGCGACTCTCGGCTGTGATTGGTGTCCAAAAAGGGCTTTTTCACCTGGCTCGACTCATTACATGTGTGTGTATGTTTCTCTAAGTGTGTAGGCTCACAGATGGGAGTGAGGAAGGGTTAAAGACTTAGCGGGGTGTATGCAGAGGGAGGGGAAGGTCCCTGGCTGGGCCGCAGTTCAGTCTGTTTATCTCTGGGTGTTTTTGTCTGAATTTCAATTCACCCCAGCAGCCGGCTTTAATTCCAATCGGGACATTTCACAACTCTCTAGGAAGAGGATCCCTTCCTCCCCGCCCCTCTCCGCAGCTCCCTCTGCACGCTGTGCGCCTTGGCTCAGGTCCCAAAGTCCCTTCTCCCTTGGGCGGGGGCGCGGGACTTGACCGTGTGACCTCAGAGCCAGCCCGGTAGGCCGAGGGCGGTTCCACGCACAGCTGGCCCGGGCTCCTCCCGCAATCTCCAGCCAATGGCAGGGGCGGGG